ATATTTTCATTAGAGGGCTCCTAAACTCAAATTAGCGCTGTAATTTTCTTCATAAGCAAAATGTTAGGCATCTTCCGCCGAATCACTATACATAACTTTATTTCCCCCAAACACATTTATGTAGCTAAAATTAGTTTTAACTAATGTTAAAAGTTAAAACTAGTTTTATCTAAAGTCAAAACATGTACAGCAGTAAATTAACTAGACAAAACCGGTTTTGTCTAGTTAAAACTAGAATTTACTGTAGTCAAAAAATGAATTTGAGTTAAAACTAGTTTTAACTAGACAAAACGGGTTTTAACAAATACATTCAGTATAAACTAGTTTCAACTAGTTAAAACGCGTTCTAACTAAAAACGGGTTTTGACTGTAACATATATAAATAATTTGTTCTAATATTCAAACCACAGTGGTTATATATATATATATAGCCTTATAACAAATAGGGTTGGCGTCAGGAAGGGCATCTGGCTGTAAAACCTATGCCAAAACTACATGGAATGTTTGCTAGGCTACAAGTAAGTTATAACTGTGTTAGGACATCCCCAAAGCAATGTGCAGTCATGTCACCTGAAAACTATGTCAAATGAGCTGGGGCTACCGAACCAAGGACATGTTCAGATAAAGAAGTTAGTCCAGAAAGAGAAGAGGAAGAAGACAAGTATAAGAATAGGTACTTTAAATGTCGGAACATTGAATGGGAAGAGTAGAGAGTTGGTTGATCTTATACAAAGGAGAGTGAACATTTTGTGCCTTCAAGAGACAAGATGGAGAGGAAATAAAGATAAAGAACTTGGTGACGGGTACAATCTGTTTGTGAGTGGAGTGAATAAAGGAGGAAGGAATGGAGTTGGTATTGTAATTGATAAAGTTCTAAAAGACAGTGTCTGTGAGGTTAAACAAAGGTGTGATGGAATTATGAGCGTTAAGTTGGACACTGGTGGAATTTTCGTTATGAATTGTGTGTGTATGCTCCTCCTCCAGGTAGTAGGGAAGGAGAAAAGACAAACTTTTGGACAGATCTTGACCAAGTTATAATGTGTGTTCCTATGAACGAGAGATTAAATGGTCATGTTGGGAAGAGGAAGAATGCGGAAAGAAAAGTTCTGGGAGGTGGAGTGTGGGAGAAAGACTAGTTGATCATGCTGTGGCTTTTGATCTTACGCTAGTTAACACCTACTTTTAGAAGAAAGCGAATCAACTGGTTACATACATGAGTGGAGGTAGATCCAGCCAGATTGATTTGTTCTTGCACTGCAGGAGACATCTGAGAGAATTGAGAAACAGTAAAGTATTAAATGGAGGAAGTGTTGCTGCACAACATAGAGTTCTCCTGATGGATTGTGAATTTCTTATGGGCCATTGTAAGAATTGTGTTAGCCAGATTGAACAAAGTATCAAATGATGGAGATTGAAAGAGGAGGAATTACGGAAAGAGTTTAAGGTAAAAGTGTTAAAAGAAATCCAGTTCCTGGATGATGTGCAAACGTGGTGGTTGCTGAATAGTAATTGTATTTTGAAAGTTGGAGAAGAGGTTTTGGGAAAAACTTCAGGGAAGAGATTGCCAGAAGGAAAGGAACTTTGGTGGTGGAATGCTGAGGTACTGTACAAGACACAGTTAAACAAAAGAAAGAGGCAAAGAAAATGTGGGATTTGATGGGAAGACCTGAAGATAAAGAAACTTACCATTTGGCAAATAAATGACTAAGAAGGTGGTGGCTATTGCAAAAGCAAAGACTTTAGAAGAGGCTTATAAAGTTTTCGAAATGAAAGGCAGTTGATGAGAATTGCCAAAACAAGAGATAAGGCATCAAAAGATTTCACCTCTATTAAACTGATTAAAGATGATAAAGGAGTGGTATTACAAGATTATGAAAGGGTCAAGGAAAGATGGAAAGAATATTTTAGGAATTTATTGAATGAAGAAAACCTCAGAACTTTATACAAGAATGGAAAGGCAAATGAAGGAGTGGTGCAAGATATTAACAGAGAAGTGGAAAGTGTGCTTAGGAAAATGAAGATGGGGAAAGCAGTAGGCACTGATTGGATTCTGGTTGAGGCTTGGAGAGGTTTGGGTTAAGAAGGAATTGATATCCTCTAGGACCTTATGAAGAAACTCTGGCAGCAGAAGATTCCAGATGAATGGAGGAAGAGCATTCTGGTGCTGATCTGTAAAGGTAAATGGGATGTACAGAATTGTGGAAATTATAGAGGTAAAAGTTATTGTCCCATACTATGAAGATTTGGGAGAAAATTGTAGAAAGAAGGATTATGCAGGAATCTGAGATTGGAGAAGAACAGTTTGGCTTTTTGCCAGGAAGGTGTACGACTGATGATATCTTTGCTCTAAAATAGCTGATGGAAAGGCACAGGAAAATGCAGGAAGATTTGCACATGGTGTTCATAGATCTAGAAAAGACATCTGATAGGGTACCAAGGCAAGAGGTATGGAGATGTTTGAGGGAAAAGAATGTTCCAGAAAAATATGTTAGGCTTGTCAAGGAAATGTACAAGAGAGCAGAAACTCAAGTTAAGAGCAGTATGGGCACTACAGAAGGGTTCTTCATTAATGTTGGTTTACATCAGGAATCGGCCTTTAAATTAACCCTTATTTGTTTGACCTGATAATGGAGGTATTGGTGTGTGATGTGAAGTATGAGGCTCCATGGAGTATGCTGTTTATGGATGATATTGTGCTGTGTGAACTTTCCCAAACCAAGGCTGAGAAGAAACTGGAAGATTGGAGGAAAGTTTTGGAAGAAAGGGGCATGAAGATTAGCAGAACTAAAACAGCTTATATGACTCTGAATGGTAGAGATGAGGGTAATATTAAAATCCAAAATGTACCGCTCCCTTTGGTTCCCGCTCCCTTCTAAATATCTTGGGACATTTGTAGAGATGGGAGGAGGATTGAACTCGGAGGTGCAGCATAGAATTCAATGTGGATGGATGAACTGGAGGAAGCTGAGTGGTGTGTTATGCGACAAGAAAGTTAGCCGCAATCTGAAAGAAAAATTATATAAATCAGTTATTAGACCTGCAATGTTATATGGAGCTAAGAAGATATGAGCAATAACAAGAGCCCAAGAAAGAAAGATCGAGGTGGCGGAGATGAGAATGTTGAGATGGATGTGTGGAGTGTCAAGGAAGGAAGATTGGAAAACTTGTAGTAAGAGGAAAAGAGGAAGACCAAAAATACATTGAAAAGATAAGGTGGAAGAAGACTTGAACCAGAGGGAACTTAAGAGAGAAGAAGCCCTTGATAGGGAGAAATGGAAGAAACGTATTAGAGAAGGAAATGCAATCCCATATAAACATGGGAGAACGTGAGGATAAAGAAGAAAAGCTGTTATACAGAGGGTAAGTATGGCAATCTGGCAAAAAATGACTCTCCCCCAGATATTTACATTTTTGGACTTAGGACATCTTGAAATGTCGAGAAATGCAAAAAAATTTGGGGGTAATTTCTGTATGTATGGATGTTAGTGCATAGGGGCAAAATTGTTTTCACGATTTTGTTCACCCTGTTTGAAGCTTAATAACTCCTGTGCTTTTTGTTGAACATTTCTGAAATTTTGTTGGGAGATTTGTTTATTAGGAGGATTGATGCTATTAAATTTTAGTGATTTAAGGTTGAGAGGGTAAGGAGATAATGGAGGTTGTGTGTATCTCCAGTAGGATCATACATAATTAATGATAAATTGGACAATAAGTTTTTTTAATAAAATATTATAATAGATGGCGCCACCAAAATTCGAAATGTTGCTGGAAAAATTGAGCAACTCATTGCTGGTTTATGTTTTATTGCTGATATAACCGAAAGTGAGAATGAAAATTTTATTGATACACAACGTAACATTCTCTGACACCATTTTTATCAGACATCTGGCCAACAGACAACATATATCTTGACTTTCCATATTCTGGTTTTTTGTACAGTATATGGTTACATTCAATGCAGAAAGAAGACAGAATGTCACTTTTTTGCTTACCATTTCCATTGTCTGTTTCCGCACATGAACACTAGGCTGTAGTCTAAGAGTTTTAGGAAATTATGATGTAATTAGTACTTTGTAATGCTGCTAAGTGTTCCAAGACTAGTAGAGGTAAATGATTATTCTATATTATTATTAGAGAAAATTGAAGAATTGTTTTTATTTGCTTGACACTTCATGTATACACTTACAGAAATGACTGAGTTACTAAGCAAAGCCTATTATTTCTGAGTATTTATGATTATGAATCGGTCTGCAATTATTTAATATTGGACAGCTATAGAAGAATATTCCATAATTTAGTGGAGAAACTTCAATAAGAGAAGAATTTTACAGAGATGGAACAATTAATAAAAACAACAGCCCAAATAATTACTTCAATTATCAAACAAAAAGCTGGATTCATGTATTTGACAATTAAGGCATAACAGTAAGTGGGAGTTGTGGGTTCGCGTCCCACTTCGGGTCAATCTTTTCTTCCAGAATGTTCTAAAATTAAATTAATTAATTTATAATTATTAAATTTAACAAGAGATAGTCATTCAGCTGCTATCTCCAGTTAAATTATTTAGTAATTGTCTTGCCTTAGTAGTCCGATAAAGGAATCCGGACATTCGTTTGATACTTAATAAATATTTAAAAAGATATTTAAGAATTGGATCCGTGAATTTGAGCTTTGATATATACAAGTATTTCCTCGATTTCGAAACAACCTATGATTTTGAAATTGAATTTAAAAATCATTTCTACAGAGAAAAACTTAAAATTTAATAAATTTGATTATTTTAAAGTAGTAAGTTATAAAATGATAAAATTGTTGCAAAATTTACATTTGGCAGCTCTATTCTCATAATCTTCTGTGTTTATAAGTTTTATTTTAAAATTATATTATTGTCATTGATTTAAATCTTAAAAAGGAATTTTCAAATGTTTAAACCGATGGAATCATTGGGAAATACAGCCAAAAAATCTCTTATTGGTTGATAATGCATCACCTAGTGTACTTGTGAACAATCACCGACTGTTGATTTGAACCGCAAATATGAGATGTTTTCTATTGTAACACACAGTTCTATTTTGGACAAGTAGACGAGCAAAAATATTTATGTTAGTATCAAAAATATGGTGCGTACCAAGTACATAAAATTAAATTGAATTTTAACACAAAAACATCACAACTGGTTATAAACATGCCAAAAAACAAGTCAGGCTTATCTAGATTTGAACCACAGCAGAGGGAGACTAGGGGGAAAATACATGCTCTTATTATGACTTTGACAGCAGGGAAAGCAAGATAATCATAAGTCTGTGTGTGCTGTAAATGTTGAGGCCAGTTTTTTTAGCACTTGGAGGGGTCAGATACAAAAAAATGGACATCATTTTTGTTTTTCTTAGTAATAAATACATTCAATGACCCCAAAATATCATGTATTTTATGTAGTGGTTGGAAGGTTTGCCATGGTAGATGTAAAATAAATGTTTGTTATTGCTGAATAAATATTCCAACTGTACATTATTTGCACCATTACATATGTTTATATTTGTGTTTTAATTATTAATAAAACAATTAACTATTACTTAGATTAGTTACAATAGTAGATGAGAAATATCACTTCTTCTCTTACATTAATTATTTACTTTGTGCTCTCTAATTCGGCATGCAAGTTATTTATTTATATTATTTGAAGTCATTCTGATCATTTCATTTCTGGATAGCATAGAGAAGTTAAACGTCTACAAATGAGTAATTGCAGTTAAAAAGCAAAGATAATATATATTTTTTCCCAGTGTTGCATCTAGTTAACCGCATATCATGTTTTAAGTGCATTGGAGAGTGAAGGTGAATTAAATTAGTCTTCTGTGGCATTGCTGTAGACAAATTTGTTGAATAATGTGACCAATAAGTATCAAATTAGGGATAATCATAATAGATGATTTGTTTTTATCTGTTTTGTCAATTGTAAAATTTCAGCTGTTATATAGTTGTTTTCTATTATGGCAGATACAGTATATCAGTTCAGTATTAGTGGTCGTTAAGTCATTCTTATGAGTAATCAAGAAGCAAAAATATAAATTACGTTACAATAAATATGTAGTATATTATAAAGAGAGTATTAATTTTACCATTTATAAGTTAATTG